GGCCCTGCCCGGGGACGGGACACCCACACAGACCTGCTGCCCACGCACAGAGGGGCCGGCGGCGGGCACCCGGCGGGAGCAGAGTCCAGAGGAGTGGCCAGAAGCTGCGGCCCGCCCAGGGCAGGTGCTCGGCCTCCCCTCCCCCCTCCAAGGCGGGGCCACATCCGTGGCCGCTGCTGTCCTGCGCTTGGCCACCAGGAGACGGCCAGGCGGCCCCGTCAGGTCTGCACGCAGCCCCGTGGCCCTGGTCTCCTCGGGACCAGGGTGGACACTGCCGTCAGGCACGGCCTGTGTGGCGAGGCCCCGCCACCTGGCAGGTGTAGCCAGGCTGTCCGACAGGGGACAGCAGGCTGCCCGCCACCCCACCCCCCGGTGCCCGACCCCCAGCAGTTCGCATGGGCACCCGGTGGCGTGACGCCCACCCCGCAGCCCGGTCAGGCCGCCTCTGCCCGACAGTCCCTGCCGCCGAGACATGGCCGCCGGCAGCCGCGAGCAGGACACAGCCCGTGCGCTTGGAGTCCGTTTATTTGCAGCACACGGGGCCTCTCCGGGGACAGCGGGGGTGGGCAGCGGCGGGGCCCTGGGCCTCCAGCCGGCGGCCGGGGCAGGTCTCTCCGGGCAGTGCGGCGCCGCCGGCCGCGGCATCTGTCCATGAGTCCAGCGCAGCCTAGGGCACGCCGGATGCCGGGGGCCCTGGGGGCGGGAGGCCCCTCCTGACCACCACCTGCACGGGCCCATCGGGCAGGGCCTTGATGACGGTCCAGGCCTCCAGCCGCGTGAGGCCCCCCACGGCCGTGCCCGCCAGCTGCAGGATCTGGTCTCCAGGCTGGACCGGCTCTGTCTGCTCCGGGAACACCCCTGCGAGAGGGCGGGAAGGGGGGGCGGCGGCCTGGCGGTCACCGCTGGCCAGGCCTCCACGGCGGGCCCCTTGCCCACTTCTCTTCTAATCTGCACGTCCGGCTCTTACTTACTTAAAGCCGCTGCCGGGGACCCGCAAAATCGCCGGCCCTGATTCACGCAGAGCCGCCGGCCCCACCCACCCGCCGCTGCTCCCTGCTGGCCCGGTCAGCAGACACCAGGCGGGGCCGCACAGAGCACTTCTGGCCGGACCCAGGCAAAGCCTCCCACTGGCGGGCCAGGCGCCACGCGCCTGCGGAGGACAGGCCAGGGGCCGCCCGAGCCCTCCCGAATGCCCACTGCTGGGCCCCACCGGCCAGTGGGAGGGGAGCGGGCAGGCGGGCAGCAGCCCTCTGCCCTTGGGGCTTTAGGCTCATCCGACCTTCGGGGACATTCAGCTGAGCCTCCCGCCCGGCCCGCCCCCGCG